TTTAATGTCGTTAGGTGATTATAATTCTGATTTTATTTTTGGTATTAGTATTTATTTATTTAGCATCAGTATATTTGGCACCAAAATTCTAAACAACATCACTTCAGTCTCCAAAATTGTGGGTGCAAAAACCAGAAGTTTGAAAACCAGACCCAAGGAATCATACAACTTATCGATACATTATGGATAAAAATGAAAAAAGGAGTCACGTACATAAACATTAATAAATTAGAGATAGACAAATGCTTATTAAAATGTTAACATGAAACCTATTATAATTCTACATACTCTTTAGACAAAGATTTTATGGTAAAATACTTCTCCATTTCCTGTAATAGCCAGGCATCCTCCAGTTACATCTGTGATATCAGAGCTTTTATTAGTTATTTAAGTTCAAATTTAAAAGATAAAAGCATTGACCTCTGAAATAAAATGTTAAGGTTTATATTTTTTCTCCTTTTGAAAAGCCAGTATTCCTTTACATTCTCATACTAGCATCTAAAAGGAAACTAGTGAATGTAAAAATAAAAAATAAAAAAGAAAATCAATTTCAAGAGCCATAAAATTTATGAAGACAGAACTCAGAGTCTTTACAAAAAGTGCAAATGGAAAAAACAAACACCAAAACCAACCTGATTGTTTTAAGAACTAAGGAAAAAAAGCAAAGTAATTAACCAATAGAATTGCAGAAAAAGACAAAATAATTGCAGTTCCATTTTGGGCTCAGAGTATGGAAGTGTTAAGTACTAGGCATGTATTGCTACATTTCTTGAATTTTGTGCCAGCGATGTAAATAGACAACTCCAGAGTTGCCATCATAGCCATTGATTAGGTCCTGTGCAACTAGCTGTTTTGAATAATGTTTTATGCCCTTCAGCTCTACTTAGCCATTCATCCAAAGTCTCAATAAGACCGTCTGCAACCTTCATCAGAAATGACAGAAAAACCTTATTGAGCTTCTGGATGAAGCAGCTCTGAAGAGAAGGCCAAACAGAAATGGAGGACTGATTATACCAGACAAGACTAGACTTTGGGGTGCTGCCATCACTAGAGCAAAATACAAGAGACACGACATGCCATACCATGGTAAACCAACCACACTGACAGCCCTGGTTTTAGATAGTATTTACCACTTCTGATTTCATGCAGGATGGGATATGCAGCAGGGTTGGGGAAAGCAGCCGTGTTTTGTTCTTGGTTTATGCCATTTCCTTTCCTATTATGTGAGAAGGGGGGCCTTCCAGCTGGCTAGAGCTACTGTAGACATCTACAGCTCCCACCCAGGAGGTGGCAGAAAATATGACATGAAATTACCGTTCTCTGTCTGCTTGGAGTGCTTCTTCCAGATACAGGACTCACTGAGCCTGATGTGTCTAATTCATCAGCAGAGGACCATGAGGACAATTCCTAAAGTTCAGAAGGAATGGAGCTCAGAAATACACCAACTAGCTGTTCAGGTAAACAAACTAAAAAAAAATCCCGAGTGAAATCCCAGCAGAGTTATTTCCAAAGCAAATAAAATAAGCCAGTTAAATTTTGTCACCAAATTTTATAAGACTAAAGCATTACATGTTTTCTCTGCACGCCCTGAATAAAAAGAAAAGCAAACAGGTAGTTAAAACTTAATTGCTTTGGGCGACACTTTTTCCACCAAAGTCAATAAAAGGGGAGAAACCACATGCTCTTTATTGGCCTTTAATTACAATAAGAGGTTGGTACCACCAAGATTTTACTTAAACAGGCAGCAATTCACCAGAAGGAGAGAAGAGCTGAGTTCTCATGCCTGATGCACTCTGCTAAACCAAGACTTTAAAAAAAGTTAACTAAAGGAGAACCTTGAAATCTTTACTTTATACCTGTCACTGGTGGTGAAGATGTATGCATAACTCCCTCTCAAATACCCGGAGATACATGATAATTTGAAAAGATTTGCAGTACAGCTCAAAGCTTAGAGGGCACTATGACTGATTTGTTAGCCTATCACAGAACTTATTTTATGCCTTTTTATTTTTTTTCCTCTTTGACAGCGTGAGCATTATCTTCCTTTCCAGTGACAACTGACACACTGTAATTTTCAGTACTGCAACTAGAATAATTGTCTCATATACTTTGCCAGTTGACTGAATCAGTAATGGCAGGATAAACAAACCAAGATGTTCAATACTTATTGCGACACCAAATAGCAAGAAATTACTGGATTAAAAAAAGCCTCCATATCACAAAATAGATGTTTACATTATGAAGTGCAAGATTACTTTATGATATTCAATATTACATGTGTTCCATCTTGATAAGTATTGCAAACAACAGAAAGAATGCAGCCAACAGCACTGATCAGAGAAAGACAGTCAAAACAGTGGGAAACATGTGCCCAGCAAACAGGAAGGGATAAAAAGACATGACTTACCAGTTGACTACTTGAAATGTCTAGAATTTTCTCTAGGTCTTTAATATGACGTGTGACCTCTTTCAATAGGACCTTCAGTCTGTTTCCAATAACATGCACCTTTTCTTTGGCTTCAAGACAGTCCTTGCCTTCAGCATTGACTAGCAATTGGCAGGACATGTCTTGCAGCGATGCCACCTTCAGCTGAGACTCCAGCAGTTCACGTCTGATTTGCTGTTGCCAAGGCAAGCATCAGATTATTTTAATGGAAGTTAAACAAAAAACAAACAAAAAAAAAAGGAAAAAAGCTAGAACTCACAAAGCTGGACATTTGAAATTAATGAAACGGAAAGAAAAGAGACGCAGTAAAAATTTCTGCTCTGACAGGAAGATAGACAGCAACCTAGCTGTTGTCTGAGATTTTAAATCACAAGTTATGCTACTGACGGAATTGAGCAGTGTTCCCCACCAAAGTAAAGTTAGTTACTGACATTGGTCTCACTGTTGTGTGTTAACGTGCAATGTACAATGCTAACCCTCAGGAGAAAGATAAATCTGATGAGGTGTTTTTCTGATGATGTATTCTGGGAGAGAAAAGGGTGATTACAGCCCTACCATTAGAAGTCTGTGATGATCCTGCAGCGTTTCTGAATCCAGGTTTGGATTGACAGGCACAATCTCATTTTTTCTTCTGTCAATATTCTCTAACCAAAGCAGCAAACCATGGCTCATTTCATGGAAATCCTGCAAATGATGGGTGATTATTTTAATAACGTAGCAAAAAATTCCAGTCAAATTCAGGTTTTTTAGTTTATCCTATGATAGGTCCTACTGGCTAAATAACGTAACTTAGAGAATACTCTTCCAGAGATGACAAATTTAGAAAATCTTGGATTAGAAATATATGCTTCAGGTATTGCAGTTGTATCTTTCAGAAAACACATGCTGAAGCTGTATTTTGTCTTATTTGGGCAAGTTTCTGACTGGACAATTAGCACACCAGATAACAGTATAGTTTACATTTTTGGCATGTGGGATGCTGACAATCTAAAATGAGTGCAACACAGACCTGGCACTGCATTAATGCATCCTGCAACGAGCAGCGCCACTCTTCGATCATGCTGCATACGTGGTCCCAGCGCACATTCATCTGAGACAAGCACTCTTGAAGCTTCTTGCTCTCTTCGCTGTCAGACTGAGTGAACTCTGAGCTGCACAGATTGATGGATAAGATGATCGCTTTGCGGTTATCAATTGCTTTCTGCAGATCCTTGATGATAAGAGATAATGGGACAGGGGAAGAAAGGATGAAAATCAATAAAACGTGACTTTCAGAAGAACCAAGTAAAGAAGGCACCACAAGAATGCAATGATTTGCCATCAGCAAGTGCAGAATGGTACTGTACTGTAACAGTCTTTTTACTCTGGATATGAGATTTCTGTACTCACTCTGTGACTCTGTAAATGTTCACTCTTTAACATCCACTAAAATTTTACTGTAAGCGTAACTAGAACGAGCCAATTAAACTTGTAAAGTCTTAAAAGCTTGAAGTCATAGTTGAGTTTTAAAGATCTGGCTCATGTTTCAGATATTTTAAAGACAGGGCAGGCCCAACAAAATTTAAAGATATGTAGGACAATTGTACTTTAGCTCACAATAAAACTTTTGCCCTCACTTCTCAGTTTTGCTGATAAACAAAAAAACCAACATGTTTTCAAGTGGAAACTGCTGTCAACAGTATTTTAAAATAAAAGCTTTGCTGAGGGAAAAGAAAACATACAAAGAGTATAAACAACTTACTCCAATTTATAGAAGCAGGACATGTATAAAATCTCTGATTTGTTTACATTGGAAGCCACAAAAGAAACCCCACCTCTTTTGGTTTGGAGGGCACTAATGGGCTTTCCAAGAGTGGGTGAGATAAGAACAGGATTCTTATGAAATGCCCCCTTTTCCACCTACTTTACAGCATTTACTTAAAAGCCCCATGTCACAGTGACCTTTGTAGTACTTATGGCAGCTATATTTGGACTCCAGTGATGATCAGCATTAACATGCTTTAGACGGATCGCTGCCGGAAACAGTCTTTACTATCTGTCTGCCTCATTTCTAGCATGGAGCACAGTGCATTTTGACATTGGCTCCCACGTTTTTGTGCCCAAGCTTATAAGACACTAGTAACTGAATGTGAAGTTATGGACCATCACATTTGCAGATCTTTATAGCTTTAAAATATCCAGGAGAGATCACAAAGGCAACATTCAGATCCTGATGCATTTGAGATGACAGAGGAAGAAACAGGACTGTTACAGAGCGATACCAAATTTTTCCTATGTTGTACTGGTGACAGCTAGTGGGTAGGCTACAACCCCTTTGGGCACTCTCTCCTTCCTCCACACAAAGTAGTATGTCCCAGTGAGGCATTTCTCTTAAAGTAGCTATTTTGTTATCACTTGGACTAGAAGAGATTTCATTTAACTTTTTTTTTCTTTAATCAGTTTGACTGATGTCAGGAATTATCTGTACATTCTGGAATTACAGAATTGCCACAGAATTACTATTTCAAAAAAATCATTTGGATTATATAAGTAAATGCCATTGGTACACTTTTCTGCCAAAAGGCGATTCATAAAGTCACTTTCCCAGTTACTTCAGTTATCAGCAGCAGCCCGCTATGTGCGGAATGGTGCAAACCAGCTGCAACTATTGGCAACCTCTTCAACATACCTGTTGCACTCAGGTCTGTTTCCAAGGTAACTCACGGAAAAGAGAAATAAAACTCACTTTCAGTTTTTTAATTCTGACTTCAATAGTCTGTATGTCAGTGCTGAGATCAAGTCGGCGGAGCTTCTCCAGTTCCTCTTCAGTTTCTCCCAACCAAGCCAAAATGCTATTAAGGTCGGAGTTAAATTGCTGCCATTGCTGAAGGTTCTGCTTCATCCTCAACTCCTTGCTTAGAGCTTGTGCCTGGATTAATTCCCATCGGTCAATTACACCTGGAATGATAAACACCAAATTCAACAAAAGCAAAAACCAGTAGCCATACATACCACTGCATCAGCTGAATCCCGTGCAGGACAGAAAAAAAAGTTCAATAAAAATAAAAAAACCCTAACCCACAAAACACCACACTGAAAACTAAGTTAGATTGAAGAATGTGATGTTGGAGAGAAAGAATGAAGAATCTGGATGATTCCATGCAGCAGACAATTTTACCACTTTCTAATGTCAGAATTCTGTGAACAGAATTAAGTTGATAACCACAGGTCTCTAAAACAGGTTACGCTGGTATAAAGACATAATAAATTAGCATAAATGCAAACCAGACAAGGAATCTGAATATGTCTAAGTAGCCACATTTTTATTGTTATTTTCATTGGTATTTGTACCTATAACATTTTAATACACCTCACTACATTTGCCTAAGCTACTGCTGATGCATTGGATAAATACCTGTGCTAAAAAGAAATAAATTAGGGGCTATGTCTTCTTGTTAGTTATCTTGCAATGCAGTGGCAGAAGGAAAAGTTGTATCATTCCATCAAATTAAAATTAAAAAAAAACCAACCAAACAAGACAAACTAAAAACCCCAAAATAAAATAGGCAGCATGGGTAGTATATCTTGCCAAGCTAAGAATGGAGATGTTGCCTTTATACTCTCTGGAACAAATCCATGTTTTTACAATGCAATGCCTCCTGTTCTACAGCTGGTGCTCAAAATTAGTCAGGTGAATAGTTCTACCAGGTGAATATAGATTTTTGTAGTGTAGACAGATAATATTAGAAGCGAAAGCTAATATTAGAAGCAATGAATGCTGATTTATGTGTTTATTACAGCAATATAAGCAACCTATTTTCATCAGAAAACATTCAACAAAAATGCATTGCATCCGCAGAGACTTTCTGAAAGGCTTAGGGTTATGTCTCATGATATGGAGGAGTTCTTAAAATGCACTTGTATGCCGAATCTTTTTATAGGGCCTATACAAGGAATACTTAGTATTCCTTACTATTCCTATGAAGAGATGTTAAACAGAACACGGTAACAGCCACAGCCATGTAAATATATGTGTTAGTAAATAATACCAAGTGTTTATTCATAAAAACTTGGCATGTTTGCTACTTTTCATAATTACTTTCCACCAAGGAACTAAACGTTACTTACCAGCTGTTTGTGTTTCAGTACTGTTCAGGTTAATAAGTCCAGACAATTTTTCTTCTTCCTCCTTCAGTTTATATCCAAGCCTTTTTACTGAGTCTATGCTTCCACTGCACTCACCTAGGAGCTTCATCTGTGTTAAAAAATAAATCCCATCTCAAAATGCACTGTACAGGACTAATTGCATGGAAAATGTAAATTAAAATGCAGCTTCCAAATTTTTCCAAAACTAGGTCTAAGTGTGAAGATAAAAATCTATTACTTTAACAATCTGTCCTAATACTAGCAAAGAAATCTATATGGAGACAACAAAGGCTTAAAGTATAAGTTCAGACTAAACAGAAATAACTCAGTGCTACTGTGCCAGACTATGCTGGATGACTTCAGGTGCCATCTGTTCTAAATGTTAAGACACTATGGCAAAGACACTAGAAGATGTGATAAAGAAAATAAACGTAAGTGTGGAAATATTGCTATTCATTTGAGCAGCTAATTTTCAATTCTGTCAGTAATAAAATTATTTGAATGACTTAGAGAGAGATTTTTCTTCCAGAAAACCTCTCTGAGAAAGCTTTTTAATTATGGATTCCATATATGGAACCTTCCTTACATGATGTGTGTTTATAATTCATCAGCAAGATAAATACTGTGCATGAAGCTATAAAACCTGCTTTTAAAAGCAGAGGAATTTTAAACAAGGATACCATCATTAGATGGACAAAAACACATGCGAGAAAGTACTTTTGGACATCTGCAAAAATCTAATAGGAAAATAAATTCCTTAGAGTCATGTTCCTGTAATCTTATGCTATTGTAAACACGCTAATAACATAAACAACAATAGTGGATAGCTAATGGCAGCAACCATTTGAGTGAGTAAGTCTGAGAAGCAAAATACACGCACATATCCTTTGTAACTGGAATCCAGCTCCGGTCCTGTAGGTGTTTTGCTGCGGATGATGTTTTCTGTTTGCTGTATTTGGAAACGACTGGTGTCTAAGGCCTTGTCCAGCTGTCGGATATGTGCTTCCAAGGCACCAGGTTCTCCTGTACCAAAACCAAAAAAAGTGACCATCACCCAAGTTTCCTCAAAGTTTTTTGTTTGGTGTTTTGTTTTGTTTTTTTTTTTTTTTTATTAAATCTTTTGCCCAGGCAGAATAAATATCAGGAATACTATCTAGATTAGACAGTGAAGGAGAAATGTGATTGCAGCAGTATGAGTGGCACAATGTTAAAGCAAACGGTTAACTAGTTAAGACTAGAGGGTGTTAGTGACCTTCAGAGGACAGATGACTATACCAATGAACATGCTTGCCATAATCATACTACCAAAAAGCCCACAGTTTAAAGCAGGCTTGCAAACTATTCTGAAGTGACTTTTCCCCTCAGAGAATGCCTCACGTCTCTGAAGGGGAAAGTTCTTGGCAAAGCACGCTCTAACCTCCCTGATTTTGGAGAACACCTTGCTCGCTTTCACACACACTCTCTGAAATAAAATCTTTTATCCTAAACCCCTGATCCAAATCTGTGTTAAAATTTCATTTCTCCTCATTTCTCTTTGTATTACTTCTCTCCACTAAAAGATAGTGGAATTTCAATCTACATGAAAGGATCCTATTTGTATACAATTTTGAAGATTAAAAGCGGTACACAAACACTAAGCAATACTGTTATAATTATATTCTCAAGGTCCATAAACTGGATGTCTTGAAGGCTCACAGCAAGTCATCCATGACTGATTTAGGCAACCACACTAAACAGCAAAATTTACAGTATTTTTCCAATTCGGTGTTTCACAAAAATTATGCTTAACAAATCTGCAAGATGGTATTATTCATCCAAGCTGTTTGGAACTCATACCAACATTTTCGAAGCAGGACTAACTTGAATTTTCCTTATAGAGGTCAGCTGAATACTGTGACATGAATTAGCTACAGTCAATTCTAATCTCAGGCAGGCTGCAGCCTAGAGGACCATGTGAGATCCCTCTTATTCATATTCTATCACCATGCTTGATTTCCATCTGTCTACAAAGACAGTTTGAATTTTTTCATAAAAACACAATTAAAAACATGCATAGAGAATGGGAGCCTTCTGTCCACCTCATTACAGAAAACGGAACCTCTTGAATGTTAATCTTTTTTCATACAAAACACAGCCTCACCCCAAATGGACAGAACAAAGTGCTCAATATGCTTTTCCCTCACTACTTTCAAAATTTTCACAGGTTAGAAAACTACACACATCTTTCTATATGTACTGCTATTATTTACTCATAATATTTTTTCACTGATTTGGGGAAAAAATAAAAATGGACAGTGAACCTGAGGTCTGTGTGACAGATGCTGAGATTTTAAATGTTTGCTACTTCAAATTTGCAAGGAAGTCATTATTTCAAATGAGGAGAACCGTGAAATCATGAGAGAAGGCATTTGTAAGTGCATCTAATCCCTCTGAGAGATTAATCTAACAAATGAAACTGTAGGTTTAATATTGTGTAAAAATGCAACATAAAAAAAAAAAATTAATCTTCCAATACAGAAGACCGAGATAAAGACATTGGACTACAGTACCTCACCTTAGCATTGTTATCAAATGAAACAACAACTAACCTAAAACTTTATATCTAAGTAATAATCCTTAGCTGTGGCTGTGTTAAAAAAAAAAATCAGTGCGAAACCCAACAGTTAGGTTTTGCTCTGTCTTTTCCTTCTGCCTTACTGTTTGTAGAAACCACTCTTTTCTCAGAGACATAATAAAGTATTAAGTCCTGTTGAGGGACTCCAGAGAATAAAGACCAATCAGAGTGGCCTACTGATCAGTTTAGTCGAGTTAACTGAGGTGGGAGGGCCAATACTTCAAACATCATTGTTTCATCCATGCACCTAATAATAGCTTTAAGCGCAGTATTAAAGCAGGATACTTCTATGTTAACATGCCAGTGCTGCCATGTAAGAAATATTTATCTTGTAAGCTGCGAAAAGTATAGCAGATGCTAAGAGAAGAGAAAGAAGTTACACTTGCGCACTGTGGTATTTGCATCTGGCTATGCTTAGTCTTTTTTGATGCCTACCAGAGATATTTTTGAGTGCGTTTTCTGTGAGTGTTACATAGGCCTCAAGAGTTTCAGGGATCTCTACATCTGAAAAAATAAAAGCACAGTCTAAATTGACAGCTCAGCAATGGCTGTCTCCTTACAGCAGAAGTCCTTTTCACAGGATGGAATATATAAACAGTTCCAATAGCAAACATCCTTTCTGGAGAAGGAAAAAAGATGAAGTCTGAAACACAGGGAGCCTGCTACAAAGTCTCTTAATATCTAGGCAAACCTGACTCTTTTCAGAGCACTGACCTGGAAAGCAAAAGACAGCCACAAGATCAGAGTATAATATAGCAGTATGTCTTCCCCTATAACTGCCTGTATTTGGATGCTTTCACTAATTGAGATTTATTACACAAAGCACACACACTTAGAAAGGTTTTCCAGTTTCACTGGAGAGCAAGACCCAAGATCAAACCTCAGGCTAAACTCTCATTTGCTGGAGTCTTGCCTGGGTAAGGGCTGACTTAAGAGTTACTTAAGCTCTTGGTGATTTTGTCTGCAGATCTCTCACACAGCATTTCTTCGTCAGTTTGTTCTGCACTTCTTGCCATATCCAGTATAGTTTATTCTAGTCAGAACAACTTAGGATGCACTGCTGTTACAGATGACATATCCCATCTGGCAGTCCACAAGCACAGAGACACAGCCAATTCCCTGTCATATCACATACGCCTTTGTGATTTTCCAAGGCTGTAGTCATCCAGGAGTCTCCAATGCTGTGTCTAAGGCCAGGAGGCCACTGGGATCACTTAGGGAAAGCTATTTAAAATCTTCAGGGGCTATTTAAAATACTTTTCCATGAGCTTCTTGGCCAAGCAATCACACGTGTAACATTTGCTTCTTTTTACTAGAAGAGAACAGGACACACAATTTGCCACCATACCTGCTATACCAGCTGCTCCTCTCAGATAGAAGTCCTTCTCTTGTCCTCCATCTTCCTCCTCAGAGTGCAGTGCCCGTGAAACGGCCGTCTCCAGGTCTCTGCTAAGGTCGTAGTCATGATCCCACTCCAGGGGAATGGAGTCCACGCTCGCAGGGGTATCTCGCCCTGATCGCTCGCTTCTCACCGGCTGGGAAAGAGGCAGCGAAAGGTTGGAAGAGGGGTGCGGGGAGAGAATGCTGTCCGCAGATTTGTCATGCCAGTGTATGTCAGAAAGATCTGCTGATTCATCCAGATCCACCTCTCTGTCAGAGAGGTCGTGTTCGTCATCTGTCAGCTAGAAGCATAATGCAAACAGAACCGGTCAATGAAACGTGCAGAGATACTGCATGGTCAGTCTGGGTCAGAGAAATAAAGTAACATTAGCCAACGGTCACACTGGTGGGGTTTCCATTTTGCATTCTTTTGCACTTGCCCTTTGTTATTGTAAGTTGCACTAAAAACCCAAAGCGACAAAAAGTTCATAATGCCAGCTCGTTTTAATTACTTAAGGCACCACAGAGTCTTGCATCAAGCAAATGTCTCCAGACATTTTACTGATGCCACTGCGATTCAGACATCAAGTTAAAGAAAACTCTGGAATCACGTCACAGGAAGCATAAGTGACCTTTATCTCGACCACTGCCCTCATTATATTCTTTTATATTTTGAAAGCTCTGGGTTTTGTTCGTTTCTTTCAGTAGGACTTGAGCTACCAAAAATCATTTTGCTCTCACTTATTCAGCTGTGTGTTCAGTTCTGGAGGCAAATTTCAGTCTCTTCTGATGGGGAGAATCATTTTATCGTTGCTGTTTAAACAAAACAGACCTCAATAAGCTGCCAGTGAAGCTACCTGACAGAGCAAGGAGACATTCTTATTAGCAGTACCTAGCAGTACCTCACTGTTACCTCCATTAATATAGTTTTATAAATCTCCAATTTGCATGGATTTTCATGATGATTTACAAAAAATCCACATCTGGTGAGTTTGCTCTCTGGACATGACATGTTTAGTCACATAGTGTTTAGTATATAATGAAAGGAGGCAGATGGTCAGGGTTGTAACAAAATTAAACCAGAGGGCTTTTGGAAAGTTACAGAAGTTTCTTGTTAGTTCATTTCAACATCTTTCTGTCTCCTCATTCTCACACTTGCAAAACGGCAACAAACCAAACAAGTATATATCTATGTAAGTACACACAGGAAGGCGGATAAGTTTCTTGTGATAGCGTTCCACACGTCCAAAGACCTCCTGACAGTAACGACGCAACTCATCTAGTTCTTCTTCAATGACAGCTGCATCCATGGGCTCACTTTTCTCAATGAGTTGTTCACCCTGCACAATTATCTGCTCGATTTTGTTGTTGTTCAGTGAAATTTCTTGCTGGAAAGCCTGCATAAAAAAAAAAAAAAAAAAAAAAAGTCCATGCTTTATCAATGAAATCAACATTGTAACAAACTAAATTATTAAGGATGCAAGTCTTAGAGTTTTTCAGCAAGAATGGGGTGGGTAACAAACAGGGATCGTTCCAAATATTCCGGCATGAGCAACAATGAGCAATTAAATTTAGCATTCCACAGTCTTTATAGCGAAAAACAGTGATACTTCATGGTTTACCATTTCATTCCTCGCTTGTTGTATTTGGAAAGAAAGCTCTTCTCTAAACAAGCCATGCCCATGACCAAATGTCTAGAATGAATGCAGATGCTAAAGCTAACACACTGGAATTTTGGATAACATGACATTTGATATTTTTTTCTCCAGATCATGATTTTTTTGGTGCAGAAATGCTTGAAAATTGCAGTAATTCTTAGGTGTCAGCAATAATGGAGACTTGACATTAATAATTTTTAATCGACATTTCTGCTTTTGGTCAGGGAATGGAGACTATCACCCTTGGTTTTTTAAAAAAAATTCACAGCACTCGGATATTCCGCTCTGGCAGAAAAGTACACATTGAAACCTGACGTAGCCCATAACTTCAGAGGTTGAAGTCTCAGGCTGCAAGTAAGGGACCGTATCAGGCTGTGTTTTTGCATACGGTTTCTCAAATTCCTTTCCCACCATGGATGTTTTTATCCCTTCTGTCATCCCTCTTCCTGTTACCATTCAATCATTATTTACCTTAAGTTGCTTAATCTTTGCTTGGACATCACATTCTGAGAAATGCTCAATGTTGGTCAGCTGCAGGTCCATCTCTGTTAGCCATACCAGGATGCTGTCACGTGCTGTCTCAAACTCCTCACGCTGGCCGATAAAATGCTGGGGGGTAGAAAATAGAGTGGCATGAAATGACCAAACAACCCAAAAAACCCCAGCAATAGTGGTTCTCCAGAGAAACAGCTCTTGTGCCCTTCAAACCTAACCTAAACTCAGTACACCTCCTTTCATTTCCTATATGCTTTCTAAGGTTCCCTTTTCAGTAACATCATCTACAATTGCAATTAGTTGACCTATAAAAGTTATCTTCTACGAAGGAGGTGGTGTTTGAGGTCACCAAGCGTCTCCCTACAGACTTCACGCTTTGGTTACCTCAGACAAAGTGAGCTGGTAAGCTCCCTTCCTCTTCCAAAGGTAGAAATCCCTTCAAAAACACTGTGCAAATGCATTAAACTGGAAGCTTCTGGAGTACCCCTGGTTCATAAGCATAGTAGTGAAACTGAAGGGCTTAAAAATGGAAAAATACTTTTAGCCTGCGCAGGATGGAGGTAACTCGCTTTTGTAAGTTGTCCCATCTCTGGTTCCCCTCATGAACCATCTGCTTGAGGCTGCAGTCAGAGTCAGTGCGGTTCTCTCGGGCCAGGCGGCGATATTGTTTATTGATCAGTTCCAGCTGGGTCAGACTTTCATGCACTTGTCTCTGGAAGGCCTAAAGCAATACGAACAAAAGACACTATCAGATTTTTAATTATTGAAATCAGGATAAGTCTCTCCCTTTATTTTGACCCTACTTCTACACTCTGACTTGTGTTAGCTGATAAATTTCACTAGGACGTGGGCATCTCCTGAGGGCTATCCTATTGCGCGGCTACCTTCTGATTAAAATGAGCAAAAAGAAAAGAAAAAAGTTTAAAAAACTGACACTGTTCACTGAATGAGAAACTGAAACATGAATACACGTTACAATGACAAATTCAGCACCAAAAAATAGACGCCCCTTTCTACTCAATCATACGTCTTTGTATCTGAGAACAGAAACACAAACAATAAACCCGAAACCTTTTTTTTAAAAAAAATGAACAGAAATCCAAGATTCCTGTGGCTTCATTGGATTTCCTTACACATACTGAATTTGCTGAAGTGCAAACACTGAAGAGATTCGAGCAATTGTTTATTCTGAGTTTTACCAAAAATAGTGAAAAATAGTACTGAAGGAATTGTCTCTTTATCTTCATTATACTGGTATACAAGTAAGTTTTGTCTTAAAATTTTAATGGGAAGAAAATTTCATGAACATCCATACCAACACGTCTGCACCATATACTTTCAGTGCTTCCTATACTGTCATAAAGGCCTGTCACGCAGCTGGGGAACGGAAACAGTAGGTGGCTTAGCCCGTGAGTGTCATGTTGTGGCTAGCAATCACAGAGCAAGTTGGAGAAAGCCCCTTGTAAGGAGCTGACTGAATTAATCCCTTCAAAAATTTAAAAAAAAAAAAAAAGAAAAAAAAGGAAAGGAAGGAAAAAAAAAAAGACAAAAAAGACTATTTTTCCAAAAAACCTGCTCATTTTTATGTTGTCACAGAAACAGAAAAGCAATCAAAGGAAGACTTAAAAACATAGTCTGCACCAGCTCTCCTCTGAACACAAGTAGGTTTTGGCTCCCATTGTAGTTCTACAAACTTGCTCTCTGATATTCCTCATAATGCAAATAAACAGTCAATCTCTCCCAAAACTAGACACCACCCTACTAAGGACTGGAGAAGTGTGATAGGTAATATACTTCTGTACAAAAGTTTCAATTAAAATCAGCGAATACATGAGACTTCCTAAGCAGTATATACTCTTCATATTGTACCAGTCAAAACTAAAAATGAAATAAGCATATTTCTGCTGTAATACTGGAGACAAAAGTAAAGAAGTTAGTCTGAAAAAAGACCAAAGTCTGTAGAGTCCTTTCAATGTAACTATTCCCTTCATTAAATAGACGTCAAATTGGGTAGGCAACAACCAAGAAGGAACAAATGGGCTTGCAACAGGAGTGAAATGCTCAGTAGAACTGAATTCACTTAAAATGGCACAATGGGGGCAATTCTCATGCCAGAGGCACAAATCTGACTATATTTACTAGGATCATGAAATCTAAAAGTGTGCAGTTGTCATTTCACCTGTTACCAAGCCTTGTCCAGCGAAAGAACAGCTGTATATTTGTCTTCCGTCTTTTCAGCTCAGCTACACAAGAATTCATCTGTTGTGTTCCTTCCTGTAACCTCTTTTCATTTCTCAGTAAACTACTGCGGAGGAATGAGTTTGATTTTGTAAAGTGAAGTCAGTGAGAGTCACCTCTGACCTCTGTGCTCAGGAACTGAAAGGTTCTTTAGATGGGCTACTCACCTCTTTGTTTTTTGTTTTGGCTTTTTTTTTTTTTTTAAATTCAACTGCAGATATGCAGAGACAAATAAAATAAGAAAAGTTAGTTAAAGCAGAAACCTGCTTCAGTTAGTATGTATATGTGGCTGACTTTATATTGACTTCACAGTCAAGTTGCTGAATCCCACTGAATTTGAACACCACAGCATTTGTTGCTTGCATTTCTGCTTTTTGGTAGCTGTAGAAACTAGGTGCTCAGCAAAAAAAAAAAAAAAAAAAAAAAAAAAAAAAAAAAAAAAAAAAAAAAAAAAAAAAAAACTGTGGGGGGAACAGGCTGGGGCGGCTAAACCGTTCTCTTCACAGCTAGTTCCGGCTGACACTCTGTATACAGTAAAAATTCCACAAGTCTGCAGGAGAGGGAAGGTTACCATAATGGCTGAGGTTCAATGAAACTGATTTTTACATCTGATCTGACTTTGCCCAACGTCTAAGACAGCCAAGATATTTTTGGTACTGTTTCTCATACAGAGACTTGCTAAACAAGAGATTTAGATCTGAATAAAGGGACAATGGGAAGCAGGTCTGAGACAGAGTACTTGCATCCAGGAGGCAAACATCTGTATACTATGGCAACCTACCTCACCATAATGAAGTCCGGAAGAGTTCATTAAATAATAACAAAATCTGGCCAGTACATTCAGAAATGTGAATGTCAATTATAAAACCTGAACCAGCGCTTCACAGTTTATGTTTTTGAATTAACTGTTAAACCAAGAAGTATTAACGGGTCTTAGACGTTGAAAACTTGCATTTCTTCTTCACAGCAAATACTTTACAGCACCTGTTTACAGAATTGCCTAAACAATTTGTTCTCTTTCTTCAGAATTATTTTTCTCTCTCATCTTGATATACTCCTTGCAAATATGAAACCAAGCAAAAGGTTTTCACCTGTGACTAGCCACACGACATGTGTGCGTGCTCTACACATAGGTATACACTCCATTGTAATTATGAGACAAGTCATCATCACATAGTAGTGGACACAACAAAGTTATGTAACAAGCTCGTAAACATTGATTGAAGTGACAGCTTGTCAGTTTTGAAGCATGCACTTAACTTTTAAGTCTCGGGGGACACCATGTGGACATATAACGATACTTGCATTAACATGAATTTCAGGTACAAGGATCTAAAATGGGGACATCGTACACTGTATGAAACAGGAAAAGAGGTCGGAGGGCTGGTTTCAGAGAGTTTCAAAAAGGAGGGATAAAAACCAAAGCAAAAGCTAAAATGCGCAGCATGCATTTGAAGAGGTCCTTGGCGAAGGAAGATTTATGAATGCTCTGGAGCATCTACTGACCAGACATATTAAAAAGTGAGAGAAATAAAAAGGGTGAGAAATCTAACTTTGGTGAACAAAGATCAAGTGAGAGTAGATTGATGTATTAGCATTTTCAGTTGCCACCTTTCATTGTTTTTTCATCCTAGAAACCCGCCACTGAAGGCAGCTACAAAATCATCAAGTCCACTATATTAATACAGTGTCTCTGCTGAGTGACTTGTGTATGGGAAGGAAGAACACCAGCTGGCTGCTGTAATATGATCAGCAGATATTAAATTTCGACTATTATAAATCACCTCAAATTTCTTCAGTTCTTCCTTAGCAACCGTGTAAAGCACACCAGAGGAGCTTGGAAAAGCAGCTGTCCTCTCAGAGATTTTTAGCCAGTCTTCAAATCTAGAGTAGTCATCCAAAAACTTTTGCCAGAGCCGCCACGTCTCTTCAATTCTGTAATAGATAATTGAAAATTAGGAATGCTCAGACTGAAGGCCAGCTGATCTACAGAACTTTAACTAATCATCTCCAACAGCAAACTAGCATTGCACCAGACAATAACTGGCTCTTAATCTCACTCAGAGAGCCAGGCTGATAAACACAGCACAGGGAAGGCTGGCTCATTCCAGACTGAGCTAGAATAAGATGATGGCAATTTTTTTTTTTAATGCATCTAATTTTGGAATCAGTATAAAAAGAAGGTTATAAATATGCAATAGGAGCTCTAAAAATCTGAGCACATGCTAAATAACTTCTGAAATTCAGTCCCAGTGTAGGTACCTAAGCCAGTATTTTAGAAATTAGAAATTCCACACTACCTTCAACTGCAGAACTTTTTCTTACAGAATGCTAAACATGTTGCTGCATATATTTTAAAGTTCTCAGTCATTATTCTGCATTGCAAAGGGACATGAATTTTTTTTTTTTTGGCACTCACCAACAAGTGGTAAAATGCTATCTCTCAATATCCAGGGCAAACATATTTTTATTTAAAAAAAAAAAGATAAAAGTTATTCCAACGTTTAAAAAAAACCAATTTGACTTCAATTGAATATGTAAAAATAGTGGCTGACTCTTGATCCTAAAATCAAATTGTCTGACTACTGAGACTATAAAATCCCGAGAACTTCAACATCACTTGATTCAAAATAACAAGATCTTTTTTTTGGGACAGGTTATATTACAGCAGAACTTTGCCTGGTTTTACTTACAGAACACATATTTCCCAAATCTTAGATATGCAGGTCTGAAGAGGACCTGATCCATGTAAAATTTATGCTTTGTTGATGATATACCGTTTAACCTGAAGTCTGACATCTGGAAAGTTGCTTTTTAATAGGAATGACAGTTTCTAGTACAATAAAGATCCTAAATACTGATAGCTCAGTTAACTTACTGGTACAAATCCACAAATAGCATAATATGTACATTGCAAGAAAGTAAAATAGAGTTCAATGCATTGTTCCACATAAACTTAATTTGCTGGACACAAAGGCATGAAGATCTTGTATATTTTCAAGACAGACTGTGTCAAAGATAGAACTTAGAAGCTGTATTTATATATGTATACACACACACACTATAAAAGAATTAACACGGCAATAGTATAAAATTACTTAAAAACAGAAATCTGTGGGTATAGCGCATCACAACTTAAAAGCAACAAAATTTTTCAATAAAATAAAGAAAACCTTTACTAAATACATTAAGAATATCCCACAAAACCACAGATTGTATAAAGTTCAATTCAGCATTTTGCAAAGTCCTAAACTTTACCTAGAGTTCTTCATATGACTGTGTAAACATCACAAAAATCAGATTCATAGCTTAAAAAAGATACAGAAAAGATCATCCTAAATACAGGATTTCAAGCAATTAAACATGTATTATTACTGGCCAGCACAGAGTATATAGCATTGGCCCAATATAGCCTACATCGTTATGGCTATCCAAATCACCCATGCTATCCTAGATGGGAATAGAAAACAATGAATCTTCTGGATATCATGGGCACGCAGTGTACGGATGGTCTAAGCATGTGCAGTAAATCAGATCCCACCCAAGGTGCACGGGCACTACGGCCCACACTTGCTCAGCAACGTTAAGGTGGGCAGATGAGGAGATTCCAGGTGAGAGTTCAGTCTTAAAATTCTTCCAAATAAATAAAATCAGACATAAGAGAAACCACTGAGGAACACTAGGTGGAGAAAACCCTAACACCTGGAATAACATTCTACCCATTTGATAACTAGTTTCCCCAACAGTGTCAGTAGTTCTAGGGTAAAATTAAGTGTTACAAATCTCCCTTTTAGGTCATATTTTCTAAATTTCCTGAAGTCGCTGCTGTCATCTAAGCTTTTTCTAGTTTCTCTTTCATCATTTCCATGAAGCATGGGAAATAAGACATCATTCCACCAAAGGCCTTGTGAGCAAAGCTTAATAATTCATACCTGTACCATGTACAAAGGCACATACAAACACAACCTGAATTTTCTTCCCCCCCTGCCCCCCCCAGGATAACAGCTATTGGCTTGTATTCAGTGTATGATCTTTTCCTGACCTGTACACCCTTTTCTTCAGTACTGCAACCCTATAACATACATCCCATCCTGTATTTGTGCCTGTGGAAGGAAATAATAATCTGTAGGTATTTTAGACTTACTTAAGTCGCCTTTCCATTGACATTGCACAAATGTTCCTCCACCTTCTGTCCAGATTGCGAGTAGCCTGCTGGATAGAGTCACACTCTGCTTCTGTGGCACAAGCATCGCAGTCATGAAGAAGCACTTCACACAGATTGAGAACAGATGCCACTCCAGTGCTGTGTTTCTCTATGTCCCTCTGAAGTTCCTGCAGGTGAAGAAGCTAATTCTTAGGAGAAATTGTAAAACATGCATAAATACAAATGCATTTCTCTTCTACTCATTAAAAAAAATTAATAAGCTTGCAAACAGGAGAAAAACATCCAAGGAATACCTATTAAGAGACTGCATCTGTGCAAGTGGTGTTGCAATGTTATCAATGAGGCCAGGAGAACCTGGCAGCATGCACAGCTCTCCCAGGGACTACAAACACCAAACCATCACCTGGGACAAACTGCCAGAGCTCTGCATGCTCAGCTGAGCATCTTTCACATACATTTAATCAACATCACCAATAAATGGCGGAGTTATTCCCAGCCCTTTCTCATTATCACAGAGAACGTAAAGCAGAAGTTAGTAAGAGAAGTGTGACAAGAAAATATGTTCTTATCTACTGTGAGGGTTTGGTGGAAGTACCCTTTGTGAATCTATTCTTCCCCCGGTGAGCTAGCTGCAAAGTGGCCTGTTTGACGTGGATAGCAATATGATGTTCTGAAAACACCTTCCAGGAGGAAATGAGATCTCAATGTAGACTCTAAAAACTTCAGCAATTTTGAAATGAAGCAAGGTCAACTTCTATCAATGATCTGGTTTGGTTGTTTGTGATAACTGGGGTGGGACTCAATGAGGTAATCTATTTCATCTTTTCATCTGTGAAACAGAAGACTGTCTTCTGAACATCTACATGAGACCATCAAGTGGAAAATCACAAAGTTTTCTTCCTCAGCACTGGCCCTTTCGCTTTGACCTGCCTGGAAAATACTCTTTCATTGTGATGCCCAAGTGTTTATTCTTCTTTCTACCCACCCTGAAATGTTACATAAGGGTGGATACTATAAACAGATGCAATACTCTGTGAAACACATACTCCAGACAGCTATGAGACTTGAGGTTAAGCAAGTTCAGGTAACACAATCTCCTCTCTGCTCTTTTGGAGTACAGCAGTAGTGAGAACTGGCAGTTGGTGGTCCTAAGGATTCCTAAGGTTTAAACTTTTTTACTTACCTAAAGAATCTTTTCACAAGCAATGTCTACACTGTTTTTTCTCCATAGCCTTATATTTCTTTTCCAGATTTTAAAATTTTCTATGTTTATTAGAGAACATTTAGACTTCAGGTTAGTTCACAAAGGAGCATCACTTTTATGCACTGCTGTCACCCACATACAGCTTATTTTTTCCTTTATCAGCCCTTTTATCCTTTATCATATTGTATATGAACAACTGGTAGCAGTCCGAGCAGGGAAGACAACATGACTTCAGTGGAAGATCAAACATGGAAAGCAATGTAAGATCACTAACAGAAGAAGAAAGAGGGATTCAAATACTTGAGAAGATGGCCAATGTACTGGCCTTTTGAGATGCAGTGGATAGTGATAGAGCCTCCGACTAATAAAAACACTGGTTGCTATACATTGAAGGTGGGTGTTTTTTACAAAATCATTATTATAACCATGGCTTGCAGTGTTATCAAATCAAATCATCATATAATTTTCAAACAAGGCATCCTCCCAGGACAAGATTCACCTCTATTTCTCCCCTTTGGAGTTCAAATTAAACCACTCACATGTCTACAGAATATCACTGCACACTGTCACTGCATGGAGATCACCACAAGGAAACAGCAGAAGGCAGAGATACACCAGTCTCCGTGCCCAGAATAAGCCCCATAAGAAGCAGTTGTGACAAACTGTGGGATGCCTACATAGGGATGCTAGTAAAAATCTCAAGTATCTATTTTGTTGACAGCAAAGTTTAGCCCTGCTCAGCACTTTATTGTCTCAGAAACACCACTCATTAGTGACGCTTGTGTGTTATAAATTCTTATCCCTATGTAAATTACATATAGAATATTAACCAGCAGTTCTGCACAGCCATGTAGCAAATCAGTTGGGGAGCCAGCAAAAATTCTGAGGGGGTTCTTAGGTCTCAGTCCCACACTCAGATTAAAAGAGCAAAATGTCAGTTTGTACAGTTCATAAATTAATTACCCCCAAAACATTCTGGCACTCCTTTTCCCATGCATTTCTTTCTCCTGGAGAAAGGACTCAGGAGAGCATCTAACTCATCTCCAGTGAGGCACGAGAAAGGTATTTTTGCTCATAAATAACCAAGAGGAACACAACAGAACAACAGTCCTCCCCAGCAATGTACTTCCAGGTAAAACTGCACTGTGCAGTGAAGTGGAACAGGAAAGAGAAAGTATAGTAAATCTTCTTAGGAGTAATATTAGTTTTAATGCCAAAAAACAGTTGATTTTTTTTCTGCCAGTTCCAGTGTTGACTCTTTTGTTCTAGCACTGCATAAAGGCTTTTTGTGCTATAAACCAACCAATTTTAACTTCACGTATATAGCTCATGCATTTTTGCGTGCAAAGTGATTCTCAAACAAGCTGCAAAATAAAACCGAGTTAGAAAGGTTGCTAAAAAATAGTAATTTTCAAGCATGTGCAAAATTTGCAAGGTCTAATAGGTGTCAGTTTTGCCTCTGGGAACAGACAATTCAAACAAACAAAAACCACAAACCCCAAAGGAAAAACAATTGCAATAACTCCTTTAGGTTACATCTCTTGATGCCTTACCTTTCTTGAAAAGGTCAATCAGCTCCTGGTGGATTCGATGTCAAAGCCAGCAGAAGGCTCTATAAGTGACACAGTAAGTACCACTTGCCTTGATATTTAACACTTTGCCTCATGCCCCCTCAGCATTGAGCCAGGTATGGGCAGCCCACGGACACTCTACCTTGGTTCTCCCCATGTCATCGTGCACCTGATAAGTGTGTTGTATTTTACCTGCTGTTCATTTAGCTTCCTTTGTATCTCCTCAGAGTTACAAGTTTCATAGACGATAGGTTTGGACAGCTCTGACTCAATGTGGGCAAGCCAAGATCTCAGGCTACTCATGTTTTTATCCAGCTGCTGCACTGCAACGAGGGTCTCCTTCAACTTCTTTACCCTGTAAAGAAAAAGAAACGGCACTATAAGTACACCCCGAAGGAGAATTTCCACAGTACACGTTTCAGAAAGTTTTCAGAGAAACTTAGCTTAGATGGCTAGTTCTGTTCTGAAGATTGCCTTTATTATGTACCAGAAATATATTATATGTGCAAATAGTCCTGCATTCATAGGTTGCAGTTAAAAATTAAGAGCTTACTAATGCCAGGCAACATTGTCAAAGCTTCTCTACCTTATCCATTTAACCAGTAGTAGTGGTGGAGTGCACTGAGTGAACAGGCCTTTTTCACCCCGGTGATTTCTAAACATTGAACTACGTATCATAGGAAGATTTGGGTTGGAAGGGACCTTTAAAGATCATCTAGTCTAACCCCCTGCAATGAGCAGGAACATCTTCAACTAGATCAGGTTGCTCAGAGCACCATCCAAGCTGACCTTCAATGTTCCCAGGGATAGGGCAACTACCACCTCTCTGGGCAACCTGCTCCAGTGAAGACTTGTCCTTGAGTAAATGAGTTTTAGAGAGAGAAATCCAGCTGAGAACTTGGTAGGAATTCCTGAATCCCAAGGGCTGCTTTAAGTTGTTCTTGGTGTTAATGGACTACTTCAAATTTAAACAGATGAAATTGAAATGTAACTGCATGGTGATTTCTAACTAGTATTTTTCTTGAGACCCTGACCGTATAACAGCAATGGCCAGGAAAAATTATATAGTAGGATTTTTTTATTCAAGGGAACATTAGGTTTAGAGAGTGAGGAAAATGTGACGAAACCCTCATCCTATCTCGGCCTTTTTTTCTTCAGCCTGTATCAACTGCAAAAATGTTTGTCAGTAATTCCCTCCTTCCTATCCCCATGTTACATAACATACATTAGTGGGTTCTGAAATTGTTTCTAAGCTTGCTTTTTTTTTTTTTTTCCCATTTATGTAGTACCACAAACAATTTTAAGTAACATTCCCTTTTATGCTTCTATTGCTCTTCCACTTCAGTGTTTCAACATCAGAAAGCTTTAAGAGATGAGTGCAGCTGGGAATAGACTGACTAAATCGGGTTGAAAAATACAAGATTGCCATATTCGTCAAACAAACAAAATGCCACCTGACTATCCTATAATTCAAGCAGAGCAATTCACATTCTTTCCATAACACTAACCAGCAAATTTATCAAGTGTTTCCATATTTAAAGCAGCTGACCATTAAGAGTCTAATGTGGAGGTCCTTTTCTTACCAAAGAGAAATGTAGAGATCTTAATGTCAACTTAAAAAACTTAGAAGTCAAATCTTTCAAATTTTTGTCTCTTTCTAGCCCTCTCTTTCGATCACAGGTGGTCAAACTGTGGCTCTAGCACCAAACACACTTAAGAACAGTTCAGATGCATCTTCCTTGCCAGAGCCTCGTGACCAACAGCGGCAGGGTGGCTATCCGAAAAAACACCTCGGTAACTGGAAAAAAATTTGGGTAATGTGAAAGTCTGGCTATGAAGGGATTGAAGTCAACACAATCATGATCAAAGACTGCCCCTGTCCCCATCATCAGGTTATCCCGAAACACAGCTATGTGTTTATCCTTGGAGAGATACAGCAGAGCAGCCAACGTCTCAGGGCATTATCTCCTCATTACCTACGGTTGTACATACAGTGCTTTGTGGTTTTGGACCAACTGAAACTTGCTGATAGGGTGAGCAAGAATATTGGTTGTCACTCTTCTGGAACTCACATACAACTTTTCAGTCTCTGACATTAATTAAGAGGAGTGAAATCCTGCCCATTTTCTGCTTAGGTTTTCTAGGCTGGATGTCACTGACCCTTTGCAGGCACACTGGACTGGGAAAGGGAACAATGAGTCATGTCAGCCCTGTGCAGAAGCAATGCAACCATCATTTGCAAGCCCAAGCTGTGGACCAGGCTTCTCTTGTTTGCAATTGTGTAGTACCCTCACCTCTGTGCTGGATTTTATTTACATTTTGCCTGCAACACCTGATAAAGGGCCCATCATTTAGAAAGGGCCCTCTTTGCCTCAGGCAGACTGCATGGGAATACATCCGGGCCAGAGCAAAAACGAACCTCGTCCCAAATAGAGTTATTTTCAGTCACATGACCTAAGCTACCTCAGAGAAAAAGGAAAAAAGTGCGGCATACTAAAAAACCACTCTAACCAAGCCCAAAACCTAGTGCTAAACTGCTCTCCCACCAAACTGTTGCAATTCTCTGCTCCTAAATTCCAGAAGTAAAAAAAAAAAAAAGAAAAAAAGACAAGGACAACTCCCTTCCAGCTCCCCACTACATTTACTGTTAACATTGTTCTTTTTTTGTACCAAGTGTAATGTAACAGGTTCCTTGCCCATGGTACAAATAGAAGCAAACAACAAGTGCTTCTTGGAGTATTCTGGGCTTACTTTTTCTGACCCAACTGCAATAGTGTTGTGCCTCTAGCTACTCTGAAAACATATCTGCAAACAAATAAGAGATATAATCCATGATGCTTCAGAGTTTTCCTTCTGAATTTTAGCAGGCAAGGTGCCTATGCTCTTCACCTCACTGAATACTGTGCCTGTGTACAAATAATTACATAATGTGTGTGCAAGAAAAATACCCCTCTTAAAAACATAACAGCTCAAAATGCTGTCTTTCCATGCTAATGACATGGCCTGAAAGCTAATGAAAGTAAAAGCTCTGCTTAGAGACAAAGGTGAAATTTATAAACCATTCAAGTATATGGGATCCTTAGCCAACTGTAATTTTGACCTTTTGAGATTTCATTTACAAGATTATGTTTAAATAGTTAATTATTCCAATAATCATCTCATGCTTTTGTTGCAGCACTATGCACGTTACTGCAAGAAACTTGAGATAACTCCTCTTCTTCATAATGAAGATTCTGCATTGAAATCAAAGAGCTGGACGCATGACACAGTCGTTTTAGAGGCTGTTTTTTATGTAACACACACACACATATCATTCTTACTACATTTTACAAATACTTAAGATTCCCAGAAAGAAAAATACTGCAGAATTCAATTGTTTGTTTTTATGGTTTACTGACAAAAACTCATACGAAACTTTGAATGGGCTTATGATGCTTATGTTTCCATGTTCCAACTACTTTACCTCAGTTTCTCCAAGAAAGTAATAACTTTAAAATGTCTATTATACATTAAGAAAAGGCAGTGAGAGAATAACTTGAGCTGAAACTAAGCACAAATACCTTTAATTCAACTAGTGCTAAATTAGACAGCCTTAGATTCCACTTAAAAAGGAAAACCCCTGTAAATACATCATACAGAACTCATAGCTACTGCATTAGTCACTTAGACAGCTGGTTACTAATATTAAACTTTAAAAGCAACATGAAAAAAGTCAGTAAGAGCATGTTCTATGAAACAGTGAAAAATTTTACATTGTTAAAATCAGTTTTTAAAAAATCAGTTTTAAAATAATATTTTTGTGATTAAAAAAAGCTTTATTGTCCAAAGTACAGTAGTACTGCGTATCAGGACACTAGCACCGCCAGTTATATTTGCTCTTCAGATCACAGTTGCCTCTTTCAAAGAGTAAATTTCTAGAACTCTGCGCAACAACAACAAAACTTCTAGAAAAGATAATGTGAAGAGGGGAAAAGAGAAGCTGAATCAAAAATCCAAGGTGATGAAGGCTGAGTTCAAGCATTACATGCAGTTACAAAAAAGTCGTTAGTATGTACAGGACAGATGAGCTTTGAGAAGTTAAGTCTGAAATACTTTCTTTACAGCCTCTCTCCTTCTCTGCCTTTCGCTTGTAGCCATGCCCCTTTGATGACACAAACAGTGAGCAGACAAATACAAAGTCTGCTTTCTCTCATGTGCGTGCATGCTCTTGTATTTAAAAACAGCAGTAAAACCAGTCTACAGTTTCTTTCAGACAGCTAAGAGATTTTACTAGTTCTAAGTACACATCGGTAACAAAAAAATGTTCTGGGATCCAAAAGTACTAGCTGTAAAATAAAGTATGCTGTTATCACTGTCAACTATTTTTAAACTGATCAGGAAACAGTAATTTCTAGCTAAGGTAGTGATTTCTACATATCAATATTTCAATTAGTTACCCAGCAACCCGAGACTTCAGAAAGAACCGGATCAATCAAAAGCAAACAAAAATAGCTGCCTGCCTTGTGATATCACAATTACAGTCTGGGAGATCTGAATCCACACTGCCGTCCTCCGCCATCCTCACAGCATGCAAGTCCTCTGCCACCACCATGAAATTTTCCAGCATTAAAAAGAAGAACTTCCACTCCAAAAGCCTGCAAACACTATGCTTTAGGCGGGGGGAGGAAAGGGGACACACTTCTCTTTGCTGCTGAGTACTGTACAGAAAATGTTGCACGCCAAACAAATGTTAGCAGCCGTTGCCTGATAACATGAGACTGAATGGCGACAAGTGGTCATGTTTCTAAATAAAACTTGCATTCATCACCATGTGCCAGACTTGAGCTCCAGGAATGTGGACCATCAGTGCTAGGGGAAGGGATGAAAACACATACAACAAAGCCTTCTTTGCAAAGCCTGAGCATTTGCAGCAATAGCACTGCTTCCTGGCTGTAAACATCTGTAACATTTTTTTTCACCAGGCTGACATATCAGAAAAACTCATCAGAAAGGATGAAAATGTTCTAGAAGGACAGAAACCAAAGTCTCCAATGCAGAGACACAGCTACCTGTAGCTGACTCTTCTGCAGTTACAGACCTCCTCAGAATTGAGAGGCAATTAAAAAAAGTGGGTAAAGACACACAATGTGAGAAAGAAAGAAAGAGGCTTTTACAGGCAAATGGAGAAGTTCCACTGCACAGCGTAAAATCAGCAGGTAAAGATTCAGACTGGACGCATATTACTATTCTATATTAGTAAAGCATTTTCATAGAGCATTTTCTATTCGTTCACAGCTGTAGGAAACAAATCACTAAGAAAAATGCTCCAGGCCAGGGATGACTGTAGCTTTGCAGAAAAGCACGCAGTATCTAATAATTTATTAATGCTGTCAGGGATCCAGAATATGAAAAGATGTGTTTTATTCTCAACACCGGAACAATTAATCTGCAGCCAAAAATCACGTTATAGGATGCATTCCAAACTCCAAAATGTTACAACAGGAACGCACCCCAATACATAACAACATATTCTAAAGAGCCTTTGGAGCCTTCTAAAAATTATCGTGAAGGATACAAATCCCTTTGTCCAGTGGAAATTAACCATCAATACAAGCATTTTGTACATACATTAATCAACAACTTGGGCTTTAACTGCTATCAGCCTAAGACCTACAGCTGAACTAGCAAGATTTCCACAACCTAGCATCAAACCTCTCCACCATTTACTTGGCAACTTCAGCAATGCAATGTTCAAACTTTGCAGAGTTTTTTTTCACTTCAGTAAGTACTGGAATGGAAAGGGTGGTATGTTTAATTGCATACGGTAGTGCTGAGCATGATAGTTGAGAAGGCTAAGTTGAAATGATCTGGAAATAAAAGTAAATAAATATTTTACATAAATTAGTTTAGTACTAGGACTTGAGACCCTCCTTCATGATAACAGAATGAGAAAGTGTAAGTGTTTTTGCAATTTATATCTCTCCAAGAATGATACAGAATCCTGAACCCTACCTGTCCCTAAAGGGGACACTAACCCCTAATACTGAATAGACAATACAGATCTTTTTAAGATTTATTTTGCAGTTTCTGATTGCAATTGCTTTTCACTGGAAGCTTCCTGAAGTTATTATTTGAACATTTGTCTGAGTACATGTTTCAAAGGACAAACACAAAAATCCAGTAAATATACTTTATGTTCAACAACTGTTGACGTATCACATCCTCTGAAACCAGCAGGCTCCTCGACCGTAATGCACCACTTCCTGACTTAATTATTCTGTAAGAAATATACAGCGTTCATTACTTTGAAATGAACCACTATAAAAGGAGCTGGAGCCACCAGAATGCTTCTGCTTACATAAAATTTACTGCTCCCATGCTTACAAATTTCAGAGCAGTAATGCAGTAAAACCATATGAAAAAAGAATGAATGAAAAAAGATGACAAAAGTAAACAAACCCTTTTGCTGCTAACAGGACTAAAGTATGACTAATTCATATGTACTTACATCACAGAAGTGTAAAATATAAAGCGTATGTACATTTTATGAAGTGCAAAACTGGGACTAAATTATTGTCAGTAATGGAAGGCAAGCTGTAGCACAACTCAACAGAAAGTATTTCTTTAAGTTATACAAATTGCTGTTATTTTTTTGCCCGTGAGTAAAAAGCATCTTTAAGCCCAATATACATATGTCTACCTTCAGTTACTCTTCTCCATCTGTGAAAAACTAATCAGGCAGAAAAACTAAGACTTAAGTTTTGGAACAGCTCTTCTCAAAATCCATAATTACAAATGCACTGTTTGAATTCCTCTGCCATGAATTTTTTAGAAAAACTACACTTGCACCCAGTTTTAAGCACCCATCTGAAGTAAGATGGTACTGGAGCAACACTCACTAAATCTGACTGCGACAGATCCTATGTCATTCTAGCAGATAATGCTTTTAATTGACTCTTCTAGAAGAAATGATGTCAGGTACTGTAAAGTAAAACAGGAAAGTAAATTTCACAGAAATGTGTTGATGGTTAAGAATAAACTCATTGCACAGTTAATGATGAAAAGGCAGACAATAAAAAGATTTTAAATTCATGACATCCAGCAAATTAATCTGTCCCACATAGCACTTAGAAACAAAAGAACTGCTTTACCTGGCTGCAATAAGATCTAGAAGATGTTGCCACCTGTCATTGATCTTGCCAAGTTTATACTCAATCTCTGATGCTTTGCTCTCATGGCTGGCTTTTGCAAGTCGCTCTCCCATTTGCTGGAGCTGGATTTTGTTCTTCTGGGCTACAGCAATTTCCTCTTGATAATCCTGGACAGTAAAGAGCAATCAGAATTCAGGGTACTTATTCTGAATACACTCTGCTCTACACTTCTAAATGAACCATACAAAAATACAAACGAATGTTGTTTTTTTGGTAATCAGTACAGTGGAGAGACGATCTCTTAAATATTAGATGTACATCCACAAACAACTTTATCAGAAGAATGAAAAAAACCCACCCCAAAATGCCTTCTAGAAATATATCTGCTATAGTTAAAATCATTACAGGCAATTCTGATTGGACATTTAGTAAAGCATTCAGATGCCTTTCACTTTGCATTCAGTTAATTTTCTGGCATCCTGGAAGGTCCTACCTCAATGGAGAAGGAAAATGCTCCATAGTGAGAGAAGAATACAAACCCACAGTCTTACTGGAACTTACAAACATCATTGTAAGGTAAAATCTCCACTTCAACCTACCTCAGTATCCTCTTTGCAACACAAAACAAGTAAGCAGTTAAAGGACAGTACTCAAGTGCACATGCACTACACTATACCTTTTTAAGTTTCTCAATCATTTCTTCTATGAGGATGTCGCCATTTTGAGAAACCTTACTTTCCATTTGTGTCAGCCACTCACAGAGCTCCTTGTTCTTCTCACTGAAGACAGCCCACTCATTCAGTCTCTCACTAACTTGTTGTCGACGTAAGGAGACCTTAAAACATTTGCAGAAAGTAAATAAAAACAAAATAGTGAAGGCATTTAAGAGATGCTTGGAACACTTTGTACTTCATTGTGAGCGCCTCTGGCCCTGCAAAAGTGTCCCAGCTACTTACTTGCCAGCTGTACTGCAAAAATCTTTGTGTGACTCTCTGTAAGTTTAGAGGTAAATGTTAATCTTGGGTTTCCTGTTAGCTACATCCTATGCATAGAGAGAGGCACCCAAGTGTTACACTCAGTACCCTGTCAATATCTTGTTTTATAATGTCTCTAACCCAAAGATTTCATTAGAAGATAAAAAATAAACTTTCTTACAATTTTTGCTCACTTACAAAATGTTATAAAGTATGTTAATAGTTTCTTTGTAGTCTAAAAGATTAAATAAAAAAGGAAGATATGAATGCTCGACAAAAGCAAAAACCAAAAAGATATATACATATCATAGGCCAAATTCCAAAAGACTGTGTAATTTGTACATGAGCATGATTTGTAAGTACAAAGCTAAATCAAAGCTATTTTGCATGAACAATTTTCTATGAGTCCCAATACCCTAATTCATAGACGACTATTTCTCCTGAATGGGCAGGACACCTTGAGAGATTCCAAAGGACTGAGATGTGCCCCGACAGGAAAGAGTAGGCATAAAAATCAAACAGGCTAATGCTGCAGTTAGTGCAGGAGGAAGGAAAACATTGCTACGTTTACAAAATTTCTATAGCAGTGGTACCGTCTCAGTCTATGAATAGTAATAGACAGACAATGATGGACATTGAAATCAAAATAGCAGCAAAGGGTGAGCAGCAAAGTCATCTCTCCAGTTTCAGACATTGGTACAACTACTTACTTCCTCCCCATTGTAATCTGCATTGTTTCTGACTTTATATCAGCATTTCAGCTGACAAGATGAAGACTGCATCTCCTCTTTCATAAACAAAAGCGGTGTGTTCTTTAACTACCATGTTAAGTTTAACAAGGGCATATACATGATGTCACATTTCCTTTCTGTGGTTCTAAACTTGATGGCAGCTTTCCGGAAACAAGCAACAGTTGAATAGTGTTGCACTAGGTTACATCCTGAAACATTCAGTACAAACAAAACTACGGTAAAACTTCTTTACTCGACTCCCTCCTTTACCACAAACACACTTGCAGCAACTACACTGTAGTTTAGATGGAACTACATCGGGCATTCAAATGCAACTAACTCATAACAAGATCTGTGCTGCTAACTGTGAAGCATTTTTCCTACTTTGGGGTGTTTTTGAAGCCTTCCCAGGTACCTTGCACGAGGTAACTATTTCAGAGTTAGCCCTGGTATATCTGGACTGCAATCTCTACTGAACCACAAAAATAACATGAGGATAATCTGAAAAGCTGTGTGAGGGAGACTCCACTACCTGGATTTCTAAGTGCAAAATGGAGGCTAGAAACACACTAATAGCATGATGTGCCTGAAATATCAAGCAATACTCCTCAGCTCATTTTGCAGCCAAATAACCCTCAGACTGCGAGAAATGTAGACATCAAAGTCGAAGAAGCAGAAGCTATCACCAGAACTGAACGTTCAATACAGTAATGTTGAGCGGGGAGGGGACATCCTCTCTGAGCACAGCTCCTCCACCAAAGCATAGTAAACTGTATTACTCCTATGTTTTCCCCAGCCAGCCATGCCACATTCCCACAGCGTGACTCCTTTGCTGTTATTCCAAGGCTGCTTAAAGATGCCCTCAGAGCCATGACAAAGTTCAAGAGATCTGGAAACACTGGCAGTAACTAAAGGAAGCCTTTCAGCGCTGTTTTCCCTGATTCATTGAGAGTTCAGTTTTGAATCTGAGTGTGCCTACATGCATCTCTTCTAAAAGCTGCCTCGGC